AGAAAAAAACCCACACATGCACAGGGAGAACATGCAAACTCCAGGCAGGTGGTGCCATGGTTGGGATACGAACCAACGACCCCAGTACTGCCAGGCAGAAGTGCTAATCTCTTAGCCACTGTGCTGCCCATATTATTTTACATCATGTAGAGCAAAAAAGAGGTTCAAAGCCTTCAAGGCTCCAGATAACATTACAAATTGCTCCCTGGTGTAAACAATGTGAAGTCCAGGAAATCTGATCATCATTATGAAAGTTTTTATGCTAATATACTAAATCTTGAATTGCCTCCACCACAGGGTGCCTGCAAATATAGTTCATTGTTAGGTTGAACTTGCACTTTAAGCAGTAGCTGCAATAGTGGCCGGTATTCCTTTTACCCCTGATAAGGCCGCTTTGTCATTAGCTCATAATTTGCTGTTGATTTGGAACAGACCAATAAAACAAAGATGGAGAAACAGAAAATCATCACTTCCGAGGTAGTTGAACCCCCTTTGCCTACCCTACATCGCACATGTATTGTATTAAAGATCTAATTATATTTTGGGATACTTTTAACTAAAAAAAAATATAGCATGGAGGGGAAGACAAATGCTGCAATTAAATCAACCAAATTCCATAAATGGTAATTTAACTTGTCTGAAGCTTTCAATACGTAACAATGAAAAATAAAAGAGATAACAACCCCATCCTCTGGAACTCTCTACCCCAATTTATCAGACTATCACCTACTCTGCTCACTTTTAGGTGAAAACCCATCTCTTCAGGGAAGCCTATCCCGCCCTCAGCTAATAATGGCATCTTCTACTCTTCCAACCAGTCCCATCCCCCACAGTTACTACCTTTTGTACCACTGGCCCCTCCCTCTTAGATTGTAAGCTCCAAGGAGCAGGGCCCTCCTATCCCTCTTGTATTGAACTGTATTGTTGCTGTATTGTCTCCCTTTATATTGTAAAGCGCTGAGCAAACTGTTGTCCTGTATAATAATAATAATAATAATAATAATAATAAAAAGGAGACACACTAGTGCTTTTATAACCCCTTGAACCCCTTTAGTCTCAATACTGTTAGAGGAGACAACCAATCTACTCATGTTACCAATATGAAAGAGAAGGGACAGTGCAGTCAATGCGTTGATCAATATCCCAAACCCCAAAAGACACAAACTTATATTAAAAGTTGTCTTCTAATGTAGTTAGGTCATGTTGGATGAAACAAAACCCGAGCTGATATTTCAGCTGTCATAGAAAAAATGCATTGGGGCACAAATAAAGCTTCCACAGATGGAGAATTGCTTGAATTATCAGTATCATCCTTGGGATGATGACATCAATCTTCCTCTTCAACAAGGAGAAGATACGGGATTGGAACTGTATAATTTTATTGAAAGAGAAGAAGCACAGCCAAGACAACATCCATAGACAAGAGGTTATTCCATACAAGTCCAAGGAGAATATAATAATTCCTGGATCAACATCCATAGTAAGAACAAAGAATCCAGTTGGCACACCAGGTAACGTAGAATGGTGGAAAACTAACGAGTAACAGGGTACAAAACGGGGGTTATAATGTCTTTTTAGTCAATGTCAAAGTTTAACGACTTGCCTACAAGGCCAGTTGTGACATTTCTCTCCTACATGATAAAATCAGCATTTTTTATTTGCTAGAAAATCACTTAGAACCTCCAAACATTTTATATATTTTTTTAAGAATAGGCCCTAGAGAATAAAATGGTGGTTTTTGCAAATGTTTAAAGGCCGCACAATATTTGTGCAGCAGTTTTTCAAGAGCAAATCTTTGTGAAAAAATTAACTTTAATGAATTTTAAGGCACTAAAACACAACACAATACCCAATTGTTTGGTAAAATATAAAAGATGATGTGAGGACGAGTACTTAGATACCTAACAAGCCATGCTTTAAAATTGTGTATCCCCGCGGAATGCTGACAAATTACAGTACTTAAAAATTTCCATAGGTGATACTTTAAAAGCCTTTAAAAGTTTAAAGTTAGACGGGGCGTCTGGTGCTGGAATTATTGCGTTCACTAAAACGTTTGCAATATCTGTCATGTGTGGGGCAAATACTGTTCACATATAAATGCGAGACATACGTATGTGTTTGCCTTTGTGCATGAGCACAGGGACGAGGAAGCGCTTTCATTTTTTTAAATTATTAACTTTATGTACATATTTGTGTTTACATAATCCCATTTATTGCTATCACAAGGGCTCAACAACATCCCGTATGTTAGCATGGGCAGTGAGGGGTTCTCTTTACTAAGGCATCTGGGGTCTATTAGACCCCATATCTCTGCTCTGACTTTAAAGGCAAAGTGAAACAAAAAACAAGAAGCGCACCATCCTTGCGCATTACCTCATTAACAGAATTTATTAATAGAAGATAGGTACTCACAAACAGCGAATAAAATCAGGCATGTAGTCCTCAAAGGGACTTCAAAGATAAGAAGCCAGCATGAATCCCATCATGGGGGTAGACACTCAGTATAGCTGACGCATTTCGAAGGCTATGCCTTCTTCCTCAGAGCTCAAGGAAGAAGGCATAGCCTTCGAAACGCGTCAGCTATACTGAGTGTCTACCCCCATAATGGGATTCGCGCTGGCTTCTTATCTTTGAAGTCCCTTTGAGGACTACATGCCTGATTTTATTCGCTGTTTGTGAGTACCTATCTTCTATTAATAAATTCTGTTACTGAGGTAATGCGCAAGGTTGGTGCGCTTCTTGTTTTTTGTTTCACTTTGCAGTATCGATCGGGCTTCCCCAGCCCTGTTTTGGAGATGCACAACCTTGAAATATACTGGTGGTCGCTTGCTCTGGTGTTGGTTCCATCTATTTGCCACCGGTCTGGGCCCTAGGGCGCAGGAGAAATCGCATCTGGTCTACTGACTTTAAAGGCATCTGGTCAAGCTGATATTAGTTTGATCAGATACTGTTAGATGCCAGTAATGGCTTGTAAACAACAAACCAAAGATGAAAGTGACCAAATCCTCATTGTCTCTGATCTCAAAGATCATAGAGATGATTACGGAGCTTCTGTTACTTCTTCATCTCCTGGTGAAGAAGTGGAATGGGAGAGCACAGGAAGCGGCAGAAGGTGGTGGGAGGGGGGGACCACTCCCCATGTAAAAGTGATCCAGTGACTAAATAGCTACCAGGATCACTTTTACATTATTCAGCATCACTGGCTGAAAATATTGATACCAGGGTCATGACTTCAGCTGCTGCCATGGCCCCGGTATAACTAGTTCAACCCAAGAATGTACAGGTGTGTCCTATGGGCGGGAAGTGAAGATATCACTTCTGTTCTTCAGTATGAAGGGAATCTTTAGGGCCGGCAGACATGTTTCCATTTGTGTGAGCTCTGCTGAAAATTCTGATACAAATAACTTTAAATCTGTTGCTCCTGAAAATGAATATCAGCGCCTGTAGCGGCCAAAAGAGATAATATATTATAAAACACACCCAAAACCAAAATGAAGTAGTAGGGAAAAGATTCCAGCTCGGAAACAACTGAGATAAGAAAAAGGAGATGTTGAGAACTAGGAGCAGCCCCATGGTTTTGGTTGCCTTGATATGAGCTTTGAAATGAGAGTCATTGAGGTTTGTGGAGGTCTTTACATGTTGGACGAGGGATTGTAACGTAGAACTAAGTGACACCACAATCAGCAGGAATGGCAGGACTGTCACTGAGCTAAAACCGCTTATTATGAAATAGGCTTTACCCTCGTGGATCTTACTTATCTTCGAACAGTGTGACCTGTTGGTGTTATCAAAAGGAACAGACACAACAATAATGCCACTCACTATGACCACCAATATTCCAGAGAACATTAAAGTTCCCACTATAATCCAGGGAAGCAGAGTTATCAGTTTAGCCTTCAGTAATATGAGGAACTTGTTCTGGAAAGAGACAATTTTGAGGCAGTAGAAACAGCAAATCCAGGACGTCATACAAGAACTGAAGAAGATGGTTGTGTTGTAAATTCCATTAACAATGACTACGCAGATATTAAAGCTTGTGAAAACGTCTTTCCAAAGATAACTCAACATATCAAATAGAAACTGAAAACTCTTAATGATTGTATGAGATAATCCCAGAACAAAGAGGAGAAGGTCCTGAGGTCTTTGAAGGAAATGTTTGTTTGGTTTTCTTTGAACAGAGACACCGGCAACAAATACATTGCAGAAAATTCCAGCAAGAGTTGTAATTATATTAATAACCAAAAGTACGATCTCAGTAGTCTCCATTTCAGATGATGGACAAGTTCTCTGTTCAATAAGAGCTTTATTTTTTTTCTTTTGATTCACTAATCTACACTATCTCTCAGTCCTTTGCTGTTGCCTCAAGAACTTGTAGCTTCGGCTGGTTTTGTTTTTCTGAAATGGTCCTTGAATCCCATATTTATTCACACAACTTTAAGATCATTTACATGGGCAGATGTTCAATCCATCTAACAGCCTCCATTTGCAAGAAATACAAATTAGCAGCTTTAAAGGATATAGGTAAATACATTAGTCAGCTTTGCATTTCTAACCACCTACCTCTGTCTTTGTTCCCCTGTCCCCTGTGATAGCTGTGATTACAGGCCAGTGTCACTGCAAGCATTACTTTACACAAAGAAGACATCTGCTCAACACACCCATTTGATGCCCAGTTTTCAGGGCCATAAAAGATGATTTCTGTACTAAAATGTAATAGTTTAATTACTGGATTTCACAGGCTGCTAGAAGCAGACAGTTCCTGAATGTTGACTAAAGTGTAGAGAGAACTTGATACAGAGAGGGACGAGTAAATCTGTACAGGTTCCATTCACCGAAGATGTCCCTGAATCCTGTTTGAAGTTTGTCAAACCTAAACTTAGTCTAGGTTGGAAACACATACATAATGATGTGTAAAAACTAAGGCTACATGCCGAAACGCGTAAGCCATGTATTACTATATACCGTATGTGTGTGTGTATATATATATATATATATATATATATATATATATATATATATTGCCAAATGTATTGGGCCAGCTCTCCAAATCATTGGATTCAGGTGTTCCAATCCCCTCCATATCATGTGATTCAGGTGTTCCAATCACCTCCATGGCCACAGGTGTATAAAATCAAGCCCCTAGGCATGCAGACTGCTTCTACAAACATTGGTGAAAGAATGGGTCGCTCTCAGGAGCTCAGTGACTCCAAGCGTGGTCCCGTGATAGGTGGTCACCTGAGCAATAAGTCCATCCGTGACATTTCCTGGCTACTAAATATTCCACGCTCAACTGTTAGTGGGATTATAACAAAGTGGAAGCCACTGGGAACAACAGCAACTCAGCTACAAAATAGTAGACCACATAAAATGAAAGAGTGGGGTCAGTGCGCAGATGTTGCCAACTGTCTGCAGAGCCAATAGCTAACGATTTTCAAACTTAGTGTGGCCTTCAGATGAGCACAACAACAGTGTGTAGAGAGCTTCATGGAATGGGTTTCCATGGCTGAGCAGCTGCATCCAAGCCTTCCATCACCAAGTGCAATGCAAAGCGCCAGATGCCATGATGTAAAGCGCACCACCCCTGAACTCTAGAGGAGTGGAGACATGTTCTCTGGAGTGACCAATCACGCTTCTCTGTCTGGCAATCCAATGGACATGTCTAGGTTTGGCGGTTGCCAGGAGAACGGTACTTGCCTGACTGAATTGTGCCAAGTGTAAAGTTTGGTGGAGGGGGGATTATAGTGTGGAATTGTTTTTCAGGGGTTGGGATTGGTCTCTTAGTTCCACTGAAGGGAACTCTTAAGGTGTCAGCATACCAAGACATTTTGGACAATTTCATGCTCCCAACTTTGTGGCAATAGTTTAGGGATGGCTCTTTCTTTTTCCAACATGACTGCCCACCAGTGCACAAAGCAAGGTCCATAAAGACATGGAGGAGCCAGTTTGAGGTGGAGGAACTTGACTGTCCTGCACAGAGTCCTGACCCCAACCTGATAGAACACCTTTGGGATGAATTAGAGCGGAGACTGTGAGCCAGGCCTCCTCCCCCGACATCAGTGCCTGACCTGACAAATGTTCTTCTGGAAGAATGGTCCAAACTTCCCATAAACACCCTCCTAAACCTTGTGGATGGCCTTCCCAGAAGAGTTGAAGCTGTTATAGCTGCAAAGGGCGGGGCCAACTCAATATTGAACCCTACGGACTAAGAATGGGATGCCATTAAAGTTCATGGGCGTGTAAAGGCCGGCGGCTCAATATGTTTGGCAATATAGAGTATCTTTAAAGTGAGGATTATTTACAGTGGATGTAAGATAACTACACACCAGGAAAGCAATAAACATGAAATGCATGAAAAGCGCCCCCTATTGTCTGCAATTACATCAGATATATCATATAGTATTATTATTGTGTCGTTATACCGCCTTTTATAATATCATATAATAAGATATAGAGCTAAGAATTTCTAGCTTGCCCCACACACAATGCTCCACATACTCTGATTACCGCCTTTCTGTTTGCGTTCAGAACCGCACCGATTTCTAAAGTAGTGCAATTGTGCGACTTCACTATAAGTTGCACAAATTCTGCGTCAGGTTTGATGTGACTGGGGTGTAAGAGAGGAACAATAGTGAACAGGGAACAAGGCAAGAGGGGGTATGGATACAGGGCAAGGCCAAGAGCAAGAGTTATGCAGGCCATGGGTCGAATTCCAAATGAATTTTCTTTAGAAAATCGGAAACTTAGTGTATTTTTTAATCCATTGGCGCCACCATTGATTTAGAAATTCGTCCAACCAAGCCTTCAATTTCACTTCATGTTGCTACAGAAAAGAATCGATATGAAATTTGTTCATTTTTCAAAACATTTCCAGCATGCCCTATCACTCAGATTCGATGGTTACATGAAACTCTGCTGTTTCTGTGACCCACTAATGTTGCAAAATTTGAACACATTTTTTGAAAAGATTTTTGAAAGAAAATTCTTTCAGAATTTTACCTGCGTATGGCCGGCTTTCGTGGCAACAGAGTCTGGCAGCAACACAGCAAACGGGGTACAGGGCAGGAGCAGCCAAAACACTGACTGAGGAGCCACAGCAGACGTGGAACTTAAGTACCCTCCCAGCAGGTGTGGCCAGGTGGAGCTGATTGCTGGAACCTACTGACTGCTGGTGAACACTAAAACTGCAGCTTTCTGCCCAGGGAAGCACAGTGCCACCAGGTTGTGACAATTATTTTGTACCACACCTAGATTAACCACATGCCACCCAGCCACTGTATAAATACGGCGGCAGGGCGGCACGGCTGGGCAAAACCACGTTTTAAAATGTGTGTTTTTAAAACAGGTAGAGGGCGCGCCGCTGCCCTACCTGTTCTGCCGATCACAGCCGCGGATGTCAGTCGCCGGGTCACAGCCGGTCGTTACCAGCTATGTCCCGGCGATCGGCGGCAATCGCTGACAGAGAGCAGGGCTGCAGTAGCTGTGCTTTCTGTCAGTTCCCTGACAGTTCCAGGACATGCTAATCGGGACAGAAGAGTTTATCTGTCCCGATCAGCAGTGTTCCCTGCAGTACACACCCCCGCCCCCTAGTAAAACACTCCCCCTCACACAGTTAACCCTTTCCCTGAATAATAAAGTTCACCTCTTCCTCCCCAGTGCCATTAGTACAGTGTCAGTGTTTTTTTTTTTTTGCACTGATCACTATATTGGTGTCACTGGGGATGTCAGTGACCCCAAGTCAGTACCCCCCAATGTCAGAATGTCCACCGCAGTCCTGCAATCCTGCCATAAGTCGCTGATCGCCGTCATAAGTCGCTGATTGCCGCCATAAATTCGCTGACCGCCGCCATTATTAGTATTAAAAAAAAACTAAAAATCCCAGTATCTTTTCCACCATTTGTAAACGCTATAACTTTCACGTAAACCAATTAATTTACATGTATTTTTTTTTTTTTTTAGCAAAGACATGTCGCAGAATGCAATTTGGCAGAAATTTATGACTAAATTTGATTTTTAAATTTTTTTTTACTGGACATGTTTTGTAGCAAAAAGTCCAAAATATAGTTTTTTTTCCTCAAAATTGTCAGCCTTCTTTTTCTATAGTGCAAAAAATAAAAACCGCACAGGCGATCAAATACCACCGAATAAAAGCTCAGTTTGTGGGGAAAAAAAAGGATGTAAATTTCATTTATGTACCGTATTGCATGACCGCGCAATTGTCCGTTAAACTAGCGCAGCGCTGTATAGCAAAACAATGTTGTAAATTGCAGTATCTATACCATAGTTTGTAGACGCTATAACTTCCACACAAAGCAATCAATATACACTTATTGGGATTTTTTTTACCAAAAACATGGAGCAGAATACATTTTGGCCTAAATTTTATAACCAACTTTGAGTTTACTATATATTTTTTATAGCTGAAAGCAAAAAATATCGTTTTTCTTCAAAATTTTTGGCCTTTTTTTGTTTATAGCGTGAAAAATAAAAAGCGCACAGGTGATCAAATACCACCGAAAGAAAGCTCTATTTGTGTGAAAAAAAGGACGTAAATTTTGTTTTAGGTGCAGCATTGCATGACCGCGCAATTATCAGTTGAATTAGTGCAGCGCCGAGTAGCAAAAAGAGGCGTGGTCATCAAGGGGGGGTAAATCCTCTGGAGGGCAAGTGGTTAACAAATTAATTTATTGCGGAAGGTTGAGCTGCTGGATTTCTTTCATCTACATAATGGCGTGCATTATCAATTTGCACAGCAACTCATGGTATTCCATGGCATCAGAACGCATGCATGTTTTTGTGAATATGAAACCGCACGGTGCCACAGCACCAAATGGTTAAGTCTAGCGCATTTAAAAAAAAAAAAGGGTCATGGACTTAGTTCTCCACATATCTCGTAGGTACAGCAGCCCATTGAAATGAGTGCTAGGTTGTATCCATGACATGCACACACAAACTCTTATATGAACCTAACTTAGGTAGCGAGCCCCATTCAAGTTTATGGGAGGTGAATTCTGTTATTTAAAGGCTAATTTCACTATTTGCAAAAATAAATAAATAACTAAATGCACATTTTTTTTTTTTGCAGATACAAAAATTGCATTCATTATTTTTTTTTACATTGCAGCCTGTAAAGCATTGCACTCCCCGATCACCAGATCAGGGGTGCAATGTCAGGATCCTGCAGTAAGCATCTGCCCTTACCTTTTTATAAAGGCAAGCAGTTACTAAATGGCAGAAAGAATCGATGAACTATGAGAGAGCTCACCAGCACCCTTGTAGTTCATTGAGAACTACAATCCTTCAGCGGCAATGGATGATGGTAGTCTATTCATTCACAGGAAACTGGTAAAATGAATATCTCCTGAACGTGAACCATTTAGGAGATATTAGCCCTTTCTGATAGCCGTTGCATGCGCTCTGAAGGATCGTTCCTTCACAGCTCTGTGCCGTGGCCCGGGACTCCCGTGTGCATGCGCGGGAGTGACATCATCGCGGCTCGGCCAGTCAGCCGGACAGAGCTCACAAACCCGTAAGGAAGACGGGTGAAGATGGAATCTCGGGGAGGAGCCATCAGAGTGCTCCGCTGGAGAGCTTTGTTTCCAGGTAAGTCCTTCATAATACGATAGTATGCCATGCACACCAGCACATTATTACAAATGAAACCAGCGCTCAAATCTTCATGCAGACTAGAAGGAATTTTGAATGTCAAACGTTGAGGCCTTCAAAGATCGGGAAATCTTGGTACTGGTAAACAAAAGCAAACAAGGGCGCACTCTCAACGTGCATGACCGTGGTACACCACAAATGTATTTAGAAAACATAAAGATGTATACTCACAAACCAAAGAGAATAAAAAACAGAGCAGATAAATCTGTAATGTCAGTCCAATGGAATTCTAGACCCTTGTAGGGATAGGCTAACGCGTTTCGGGAGACGGACCAGCACATTATGCCTTTACCATGCAGGGGGTGGTTTTTTGGATGCGGTGTCCTACCACCTAAAAAGAAAGGAAGAACTTACCCTAATTTCAAACTCTTACTGGCACTTCCATTCTTTTATTTTCTTGCATCAAATTATGGTAGATAATAAACTGCGTGCCCGGGCACTGTACACTCAGCCTTACTTGCATGAGAAAACTGCCTCCGGCTTAAACAAAACTCTGAAAAAAATCTATCTGTCGGGGATCGCCGCAGCGCTGGGCTCGGCGCAGGTGCAGTGCACCGCCCTGTGCAGGGACGTGGGCACTGGGACCTGGCCAACCACGGCAATCAAGTTCGCGCATGCGTGGTAGAGACCGCGGGCGCGCGCTTGGCACCAATGACAGCGCAGGGCGGGATATTTAAATGGCCCTGAGCTGTCATTCAGTGCCTTCTGGTCTCCTTGTATCCTGTATCCTGTGAACCTGTGTATAAGTGAGTTGCTGACCCGGATTGTGCCCTGACCTTGCTGTTTTCTCCTGTCCTGACCCTTGCTTGCCTGGCCTCTCTCCTGGATGCCCCCTATTGGACCTGACCTGCTGTTGTTGACCTGGCGTGTGACCCGACTACTCTCTGCCCGCTGCTTTGTACCGCACCGTCCCCATAGTTACCGACCCGGCCTGCCTGACCTCGCACTCGCTTAGCCATCTATCCCGTCGGGATCTCCCGGCCTTCTCACATTAGGCTCTTCCTCTTCGGGAGCCCCTGGCGGATACCCCTACCAGTGGTGAGTGTGCCCATCAGTAACTGTGACCTGGTCTCAGAGCTCTACAAGTCCATCCCCACCATCAGGGGCCCTGGTGAACAAGTGCTCAGGGACTTAGATTCCGCACGCTGGAAGCACCTCACCGGTGGGTTGCTAGAGGTACTGCTGGGTGGTCCCTTACACTATCTGTCAGTAGGCTATATACTTATTTATTTATTACAAATACTTACATTATTATTATTATTATTATTATTATTACATCGAGTTTATATAGCGCCAAAGGGTTTGCTCAGCGCTGTACAATAGAGGGGGGGACAATACATGAAACATTACAGCAACTACAAACAGCACACAGGGGTTAGAGGGCCCTACTCTTTTGAGCTTACAACCTAGGGGGGAGGGGGTAGTGGTACAGGAGGAAGTGGCTGTGGGGGATGGAGTGGTAGGAGAAATGAAGGGGAACAGCTGTTAGGTGAGGGTGGGGTAGGCTTCCCTGAAGAGGTGGGTTTTCAGTGTGCGCCTGAAGGTGAGGAGGGAAGGTGACAGTCTGATGGATTGGGGTAGTGAGTTCCAGAGGATGGGGGGGAGGAACTGGAGAAGTCTTGCAGTCGTGCGTGGGAGGAGGAGACCAGGGAGCAAGATAGAAGGAGGTCCTGTGAAGAGCGAAGGGTACAGGGTAGGGTGGTACCTGGGAATCAGGTTGGTGAGGTAGTTAGGGGCAGTGTTGTGAATGGCTTTGTAGGTCAGAGTGAGTAGTTTGAATTTAATGCGTTGGGCAATCGGGAGCCAGTGGAGGGATAGGCAGAGGAGGGTGGCAGAGGTGGAGCACAATCAATGTACGCAGCCCTTTACACATATATATTGTACATTCACATCAGTCCCTAACCCTCAAGCAGGACACAATCTGAGGTCCCTAACTCCCATTCATACATACACATACTAGGGACAATTAGACAGGAGCCAATTCACCTACCAGCATGTCTTTGGAGTGTGAAAGGAAATCCACGCAGGCACAGGGAGAACGTGCAAACTCCAGGCAGGTAGTGCCATGGTTGGGATTGAACTGATGATCCTAGTACTGCCAGGTGGAAGCACTAACCACTTAGCCACTGTGCTGCCCGAGCTGTGCTTTCCTGCATGCATACTAATGAGCTTCACTTCAGATGGATTAGTTGCCATGCAATTGACACTCAGTCCATGAGTAATGGATAAAGGACTCCTGAAAGGATTATAAACCAGAGATACCGTCGCAGTCTTTCTCATATTTTCTCCTCCAAGGTGATGGAACATGATTTAAAAATGTACCGATAAAGCACACAGCACAGACCTCCAAATTTTCTTTATTTATAGTCAAGACAGTATCCCAGATGCTGGACTTCTTACAAATGCAAAACACACAAAACCTTATTTAAACACAGTATCATGGAAAACGTTCCCACAGAAGGTAAAACACAAAACCTCGTACTATTAATAAACACCAAAATATAACTGAACATAAATGAACTGCAAACAAAAAGTAATATAAAGAAAATCTTTAAATAGATGACTTAATTGAAATAATGGCTGCTGTAACTATTTAGCATTAACATAATAAAACCAATAAATGTTCTCTACGATCACCGACTGGCATCACGGTAATCAGTGTGTGTAGAATATTAAGTGGTCTGTAATCCAGTGGTATCACTAGGGTTGGTGTCACCTGGTGCGATAAAACATGGCAGCCAAATGTTGCAGCTCTTTGGCGTGCATTGCGTCTGTTAATAAGGCATGCAAGCAGTATTAGAGCTATGGGATTATAGGTTAGGCAGTTCCTAATGGCTCAGTCCCCAGGAGCAGTAATGGACAATGGCCAACAAGCCCTCTCACCAGACCCAGTGAAGCTTCAGTAGTCATTCCTCTGGTTGGATGTTGGCTTACCCTGTTTTGCGCAGGGAAACTCTGGTCAGTAGTGCAGCATCCCTGTACCCTGGGAGTGACTAAGCCTCTCTCTCTCTGGTGGTGCTGGGCAGCATGGCTCTCTCCCCCCTCCATCTCTCTCTCCCTGGTGGTGCTGGGCAGCATGGCTCTCTCCCCCCTCCATCTCTCTCTCCCTGGTGGTGCTGGGCAGCATGGCTCTCCCTCTCTCTGTGGTAGTGCTGGGCAGCATGGCTCTCTCTTTCTGTGGTAGTGTTGGGCAGCATGTCTCTTTCTCTCTCTCCCTCCCTCTCTGTGCTGGGAAGCATCTCTCTCTCTCCCCCCCCCCTCCCCCCCCCCTATCTATCTGTGCTGGGAAGCATCTCTCTCTCTCTCTCTCTCTCTCTCTCTCTCTCTCCTCTCCCTCTCTCTCCCTCTCCCTCTCCCTCTCCCTCCATCTCCCTCTCTCTCTCTCTCTCTCTCTCTCTCTCTCTCTCTCTCGTGGTGTTGGGCAGCATCTCTCTCTCAGTGCCTCCCCCTCTCTCTCTCTCTCTCTCTCTCTCTCTCTCTCTCTCTTTCTCCCCGTGATGGGCAGCATGTCTCTCTCTCTCTCTCTCCCCGTGATGGGCAGCATGGCTCTCTCTCTCTCTCTCTCTCTCTCTCTCTCTCTCTCTATCTCTCTATCTCTCTGTGGTGCTAGGCAGCATCTCTCTCTCTCTCTCTCTCTCTGGCTGTGATGGGCGGCATGGCTCTCCCTCTTTCTCTCTGATGGGCGTGCATGGCAGCATGGCTCTCCCTTTTTTCTCTCTCTCTCTCTCAGTGATGGGCAGCATGGCTCTCCTTCTCTCCCTCTTCTCTCTCTCTCTGGCAGTGATGGGCAGCATGGCTCTCCTACTCTCCCTCTTTCTCTCTCTCTGGTGGTGATGGGCAGCATGGCTCTCATTCTCCCCCTCTCTCTCTCTCTCTCTCTCTCTGATAGGCAGCATGGCTCTCCTCTCTCTCTCTCTCTCTCTCTCTCTCTCCGTGATGGGCAGCATCTCTCTCTCTCTCTCTCTCTCTCTCTCTCTCTCTCTCTCTCTCTGCTAGGCAGCATCTCTCTCTCTCTCTCTCTCTCTCTCTCTCTCTATCTCTATCTCTCTCTCTCTCTCTCTGGCGGTGATGGGCAGCATGGCTCTCCCTCTTTCTCTCTCTCTGGCAGTGATGGGCAGCATGGCTCTCCTTCTCTCCCTCTTTCTCTCTCTCTGGTGGTGATGGGCAGCATGGCTCTCCTTCTCCCCTTCTTTCTCTCTCTCTCTCTCTCTCTCTCTCTCTCTCTCTCTCTCTCTCTCTCTCTCCTGCTGTTTTCATCTGTGAATCCAATGGAGGGAGGCAACTTCTATCTTCATTGGTGCTGCTGCCCATAAAAACCAGCCAGCTTTTACCTTTTATTTTTGCTCACAGCTTAGAAACGGAAATGTAAAAGCTAAAGGAAAATCCTGTTCTTTTTTTTTTGGGGGGGGGGGGTGAGTTTTCCCCATAAATTCCAAAGCAGACACTCAATAAAGGATAAATGTCTGGTCTGATACTGATTTTGAAGGGACCCTCCTTTTCTGTTTGTGTTTTTTTTGCATGGGGTTCTCCTTTAATATAATTCTGAGAACATCATTTAGGATTTGGGTCTAGTATTGATTTGTGTCAGATATCTGAATGTTTTTAGAACCACGAGGGTCCCCACTACCAAGGTACCCTCCACATGTTGAAGGCATTTGGCATGGTATGGTTAAAGGGTGCATGCTTGCTTACCTATCCACTTTCCTGGACAGCCAGACTGCATGCTTGGATAAGGGTCTGGTGTGTAATTGGGGGGGGGGGGGGGAATGTGTTTTTTTTTTTCATTTTCTTCATAAATTTACCCTTTAGAAAGACATATCTGACCCGCATCAAGGATAAGTGTCCGGTATGTAACATCTATACAAGAGCTTAAGCTAGGATAAGGGTCTAGGATTGATGAAGGGAATCCCTCACAGATTTGTTTACAAATGGAACAAAGCTGACGGGAAGTGGTTAGCGCTTCGGTCTAATAACACTAGGGTCATTGGTTTGAATCCCAACTGTGGATCTACCTACATGGAGTTTGTATGTTCTCCCTGTGCCTGCATGGGTTTCCTCCCACACCGCAAAGGCACGTTGGTAGGGTAATTGGCCCTAGTATATGTATATATATAAATGTGAGTTAGGGACCTTAGATTTTACGCTCCTTGAGGGTTAGGGACTGATGAGAATGTACAATATATGTAAAGCGCTATGAAAATTGATGGTGCTATATAAGTACCTGTAATAATAAAACATAAATTGTATACATAGTACAGGTGCCCCACTTCACAGGCAGGTTTAGGATATCCCTATAATGGAACCGGACCCCGACTGCACTAGGGTATTTCCGTTAGACTTCCACTTCCCTGTCCAAACACAGATCCACGGACACCACCACTGGCCATACAAGAGGAGACAGCACCAGACTTGAAGGATTCCTGCAGATAGACTGCTTTATTTTAACAGAGACACAAGATATATACACATGGCGGGGAAATACACATTCAGTAACAGGAAACACATCAGCAGGCAGTCCCATCAGGGGGAAGGGCTGCCGGAAACACACCCCACCAAGCCAATACACAAACACATCCCATAATAGTTTGCTCCCAAGCAAGACACACAATAGAACAATGGGATACAGCCACATGGCAGTGAACAATGAACAACCCCAACCTATACATGTCTACACAATATCAGGACATTCCACCGTGTACCCCTAACAGGCACAGGGTGACTTACACATAAGAGGGATATGGGGAGCTGAGACAGGGGTCTCCCCACCTCTCTAAAAAGGGCTGTGTTCCATGGGCCCCCCACCCAAAGTCACTCCCGTCACAATCTCCAAGCATGATATTTAAAGGAATTGTGCATTTTAATGTTTCACTTTAAGCAAAATTAAAAGAACCTCTCCCCACTGAATGGAAATTTGAACATTATTTGGCATTGGTGCATGTCCCCCAGGGCTATGCCCAGCATCCCATTCCTTTAATTTGACAATTCCTTGGCTATTAGCCTCACATAGGGGTAGAATTTTTTTTAACGTTTCCTCTCCTAATGACTTTAATGGGGTTCAGATTAATATTTGAACTTAGGAGCAGATTTTTAAATCCTTTTTATTTGAGGTAGGCAACAGAA